CTGGACCCATGCCACTGTACACCACGCCTATGTGTTTTGTGATAGGCTGCACTTTATGGATACTGTGCTCATCATATAAAATGTTTTTCTGTTTCTTCTCTGTAGCGATAACGACCCCATTGGAAGCTGTAGGAAATAAAATGTGTAAATAATAGTCTGAACATGGAACAATGCCTGTATAAACAAGTATATTAACATTTCTACAGATTCAAATGCTTACCTTTAATTCCAACTGATGGTGCACCAGCTGCTACTGCTGCCAATGCATACTCAATTTGAACAAGCTTGCCTGATGGACTAAAAATAATGAAAAGTATTGGAGTAATTATTGCATCATTAGTGATGATAACATCCTTTGTATGAGTATTCCCATGAACATAACGTCGTCGTCGATAATATTGAGCAAAATTACCACACTGCATTCGATTCATATAATAATGAACTACTCAACTAGGAACAGATCTTAGTAACTGTTCTAATATTTGCTTCCGGGATACAGATCAAACTATAAAATAAACTACACCTGATATACAAAGTCTACAGCCTACCCAGTAGGGTAGGCAGACTGTACACTGTCACTGTAGTCTGTACTGTACAGTGTCAGTGTTACTGAGTGTACAGGCTACACCACATGCACTTGGAACAGTCAGTAAAAAATGTAAATTAATGGGAGGAACGGAACGCAATTGGAGACTGGAGAGAACTGGGAATGACGCAATCTGCCTGCAGTCAATCACGCTCTGCGGCGGTCGCCCGCAGGGAAAGTGGGAATTATAGACGGTATACATTTCTGCAGAAGCGGCACGAACCGCGAAACTTTTGAGTTTGAAGTCACATTACCAAGGTTGCACTTCTCGACCACAGTAGTTACATAGTTGTGTTCAGTAGACTATAGAGGGCAGAACGAGCCAAAACTGGAGGTCGTAGATGCGTGACAAGTTTGTGAAATCCGAGATAATTGAGGAGTGATCGACGAAAATCGCGTGACGGAGTTTCCTACCTTTTTCTATATATATCATTATAATGGCGACACAGCACACTCGCAGCGACGAGGGAGGGCGCGGCTAGTTCTGCATTATTTTTCGTGAAAGCAAGTTGATACCGGTATATTATAGCTCTAGTACTAGTAGTAGTAGTAGTAGTAGTACTATAGCTAGTTGATATACAGACTATTATTTTCAGTTTTTACTAACTCAGTCTCTGTCCCAAGTGCCTGTGCCTGTGCCTGTGGCTGTGTAGATACAGTAATGTAACCCAACAAGAGTAGAGTTACAAAGCGTCCCTATCCTTTTGTGTGGAGGAACGCCTGAGTGAATCACTCAGGGCGGTTTGCTGGTGCATTTTCAGAAACTAGAACTTCCAAACTGGGTTTATTCTCAACACGAACCTTTCTCCGCTATCCCGGAACTTACTATGTATCACAATATTCTGTATTAAACTAATATAACCTGTTACAAAAATTCGAAGTGACGAGCGGCGTATACATTGAGCGCCATTTCTGTTGACCTGTGACGTACGAATTCCCAATGCGCATAGCGATCGGCAAACGCAGCGCCCTCCGATTGGTCGGTGAATCCGCTCTTCAAACCGAAGTACGTCACAGGTCAACAGAAATGGCACTCAGTATATTCGCCGTTCGTCACTTCGAATTTTTGTAACAGGTTATATTCGTCTAATACAGAGTATTGTGATACATAGTAAGTTCCAAGATAGCGGAGAAAGGTTCGTGTTGAGAATAAACCCAGTTTGGAAGTTCTAGTCTCTGAAAGCGCACCAGCAAACCTGCATGAGTGATTCACTCAGGCGTTCCTCCACACAAAAGGATAGGGACGCTTTGTAACCCTACTCTTGTTGTGTTACATTATTGTATCTAGTGGCTGTGCAGTGTGCCTGTGGGCTACACAAATCACAATGATGCTGCGCATTTTTGATCGGGAGCCGGTGACGGTGTCAATGGCAATGCTTTCCACCATAGAATTGTTCTTCTAGATAAAAATAATTGCTATGGTGCAAACAGGAATCCACTAACAAAATACTATGGTATTACAATGTCATACTTCGCGTAACAAGAGTAAAACTTACCTAAATGTGGTTAAAGAGAAGCTGTATCTTTCTGACATGATGATGGTGATGAGTGGGTTGCGCCCTCTGTTAAGGTATTTTGGTACTACCGGCATAGAATGGTTTCTTTTACTGATAATTATTTTGTTTTAGTATGGAACAGAAATCTATAATATATGTCCGAATTTTATTTGTATTATTTTTTATACTTAAAAACGTATAGTTTCCCGTTACGATTGTAACTATGATTCTAGTGACCTTTGGCATACAGTTTACAGAGATTTCAAGATGGCGATGCACTCTGCAATTAAAGGAAAACTCATTGCAGTTATTGGCGATGAGGTACGTTTTGGAGCTATTATCCAGCCATTTAAGAACACTTAATAACTTGTATATATCTTAGTTTTGCTTTGGTAGAATCCCGTATAACTTTTTACACGCTGTCTACGCCAATAAATGGTTGTTGTGGGTCACCGTCAGGTATATTCAGTAAACTGTAAAAAGTGATCAGTGGTTGACATAATGATAGTCCGAGCCGACGCAGACCCCAGTAATGGAGGGGGGGGGTCAGTTAAACCCGCACCCTCAGATTAGCAAAGCGGAGTTATAACGTCTGCATTTACGGACAATGGTTGACAGTCTCAGTGACAGTATATCATTCATCGTGATCATTATCGTGTCGTGGTACCCATAAATAACACTGTGATAAAACGTTTAACTTTAAATCTTATTCATGATTCAATTTTTTGAACAATAGGACTCATGTGTTGGATTCCTGCTTGGTGGAATTGGGGAAGTCAATAAAGCTAGACAAACGAACTTCATGGTAGTCACCAAAAGTTAGTTGATATCTTGGTTTTATAATTATAGTTACTAGCATGCACAGTGCACATTATTCATGAGTCACCGTAGCATGTTATATTATTACTAGTACTAGGCCATGGCTACGCGACCGGTTCCGGACGGGGAGCCGCTAGGCTACGCGTTCGGACATCCATCTCACACAGTGATCTTGCGACAAGCACACGCTATGATGCTGAACGGGAACGATCTGCTGATCATCGCCCCGAGTGTGTGTGCGTGTGTGTGGCGTCGGGTGTGTGTGAGAGAGAGAGAGGCGACGGAGAGAGAGAGGGAATGTGTATGTGTGTGTATGCGTGAGAGAGAGAGAGAGAGAAAGAGAGAGAGCTAGAAGTGTGGTGTGTGTGTTTGTGTATGGTGTGTGTATATGTCTGTGAGAGCGAGATGAGTAGAGAGAGAAGCTAGAAGTGTGTGTGTGTGTGTATGTGTGTGTGCCAGGGTCTCCAACGCATTCCGCATTCGGCGGCAATTATTCACGATTTCTAGGCTTAATTTCCGCACTCCGCAGCGGCAAGGTTATATTCCTCATTTCAGTTGCACTGTATAAAATTTGCACTGATTGTTCGGCAATTGTTCGCGTTGACACATTTTTTTTTTTTCAGCGGTGCCTGGCACTGGCCATGCGCTGGTGCGCGTAGAGTTTATCAATTAGCCGTCACTTGCGCGAGTCGTTTCTTGAAAATGCACGCTCTTGCCATTACCTTAGTTTTGCAGCCCCCCCTACCATCGCTCAGTGTTATAATGTGTTTCTAATTCTCTATGCATGTTGTATCTGGCATGTCTACGGTAAATGGAACAGCCTAATCAGACAAAGTGCTGTCTACAAGGTGTCACGTAGTTTGTCTGCTAATCAGATTAACACGTGGGGAGAATGGCGTCCATTGCCATTGGCCATCCAAAAAACCGACTTTTTACAGAAAAATTCAGGAAACGAATATAACAAGATGTGGCCTGTACTTGTGAAGTCAAAACTCAGTGTTAAGCATGGCTATTGCATGGTATGGCAAGACAGACTTTCAAGTGGGGCACGGAGGAAGGAGTGACTGCAGAGGCATATAGTGCCTCCTCACAGCATAAGTGCTATGGCGGGTGCAGTGGAATCTACACCCAATATATCAAGCTTCTTTTGCAGCAGATAGAAAATTGTCTGTCTTGCGGCAGAAGTGAGATTTTACGGATTATTTAATTGAACACAAATGTCGCCTTTGAGGGCGGCAGACGCATGAAATGAACTCTTCAAGAAAATGTTTCCAGACTTCACAAATAGCCAAAAAGTATGGTTGCAGACATACACAAGACGTAAAATTGTGAAGAAATTGCAATTCTTACATGTATTCATTAATATAATAACCTAACTGTGGTACGCGTCTCTGAAAAGTCATGAAAAGTGATTTTGAATCCTAACTTGTAGGGTTGAGTCTAGGGTATTGAGATAGTGTCATCAGACATGAGAATATGGCCCACAGTATGCCCTCAGATTGCAGGAAAATGCTTAAAATATTTCAAAAAATTTTCTGGGGGGGCATGCCCCAGACTCCCCTACCACTGGCATGCCTACAGCACGTGGGCCTGCCTGCGGCAGCCAAGGTTAATTTCGCCCCCCCCCCTGCGTCATCAATTACATTCTGGCATTTGGAGTTCACAAGGTTGGAGACCCTGGTGTGGCGTGCGTGCGTGCATGCGTGCGTGTGTGTGAGAGAGAGAGAGAGGCTGTGCCGTGTGTGTGAGAGAGAGAGAGAGAGAGAGCTGTGCGTGTGTGTGAGAGAGAGAGAGAAGAGCTGTGCGTGTGTGTGAGAGATTGAGAGAGGAGAGAGAGCGAGAGAGGACGGATAGAAAGGATAGACGGCAGCAGTGCATATACCGTTATATTTTCGGCAATCAGCAGTCACGCAATCACTGTGTGAGTGGATGTCCGGATGCGTAGCCTGGAGACTAGGCGACCGGTTCCGGACGCGTAGCCACTGCGTTATTACTATTAGCAAATATTATCTTTATTATTCAGGTGATTTATTTTGGTCTCATCACTTGACACTTTTGATGTTCATACGTGTGTTTCTAATATGTGTTTTTATTTGTTTCATTACTCACAGATACAACAGTATTCACGAAATAGAAGAACAGTTCACAATCCTTTGTACACAGAGACGACATCGCAATTATTTTAATTAATCAAAATGTGAGTTGTGTCAGTAATCATTTGCTAAGCTGGATATTATGTAATTAGAGACAGAGTATCGTCTCCATGTCGTATAAGGACTTTATGTCACTTGACCACTTATAACACCCCGGTGCTTAATCAATCACTCATTCACGCACGGTGTAATTTATCATCTTTTGTCCTTAAACTCTTTTGCTTGGCTACAAGGTGTCACTTTAGCGGTATTGAATGTTTTCCAGAGATAATAATATAGTCGGTGAATAACGTTTTCGGCAGTTTGCTTGCCTTCGTTAGATACATGTAACGTACGTGATCAATTCAGTGGCAGACGATGTGCTGTGCTAGAAGCAGATTAACAGTGTATAGTGTAAGTGTCCGTTACACGAGTTATTAGAGTGCTTGAGTGTCTGGTCGGCGAATGTAACTGTCAGTCTAATACTGTAATCATCAAGATCACCAGTTTAAAATAGGCCTGTCAACTCGAATTCTCAGAGCTTTATCCAACTTTATTATGTTTACATGCATGCAGGAAATTGCCAATTGCTTTTACTTGTGAACGTTGAAATTTGTTCAGTAAACTACGCTATAGGAAACAATTCTTTATGGAAATTTTACCATGCTCAGAAGACCGGCAATTGGTTTGAATTACTCACGTAATACCTTCTAACCCTCTAGGTAGCAGAGATTGATACGCTATGTACTGGATAAATTACAACCAGCCAATCCTGCTGTGGCTGGAGATACCCTCCAAGGACTGTCCCTACGATTCCAGGCAAAGATTCGATACTCTGCGTAGAGCCAAGGTGAGGGCCTTGAATCCTTCATAAATTTCTAAACACATATGCAACGTTATGTAACATGAAATGCATATGCCAGCATAATTTTAAATATACGTGTATTATAAACTTGTTATATGTATGTAAATCTCTCTCTCTCTCTCTATATATATATATATATATTAGGGGTGGGATGATACACGATATATACTATAGTAATGCACGATACAATATGTATCGCAATACTTTCAAGACAAACTACCTAGCAAACTATACACTAAAACGGTGCTCTACCAATCGTGTAAATGTTTACTAATCAGGAGCGTGGCGCACTTGGTGAACAACTGCTATTGGACTGCAAATTTCCTTTCTTCTTTTGTTTTCTAACGAAACTATGCTTTGAAATGATATATGGATATTATTTAGTAGTGTCGATACGTGTTTTGTGAATAGTCAAACGTATTGATATGTGTATCGTCGAAGTTTGTATAGTGTAACGTCGATATATCAATGAATCGTCCCACGGCCTATTAATATACACGCATGTGTACGCTGCACACACACAGAACACCGATAGACTGACAGACATATTTTAAACTGCAGATGCATCTACAGTTGTTTTGTGGGAGATGCTCAGTGAGCACTACCTTGCAGAAGAGATTTGGTCAACTCCCAATTTTCTCCACCACACCATTAAACATATAAACTAGATCAAGTAGCTTGACCCCTGTGGTCCACGACACTGTCGACACACCATTCCTTGATCGCTCCTCCCTCTGACACAAACATGCACCATCAACGCCGCTCGCACATATCTGCACACAGTGCCCTTCGCTCTCATAAGTAGCTAAAGGTTGGTAACTTTAATCTTTACAGGGTATGTTTACTGCTGAAGACTTCCGCTAAGCGTGACAGCTGGAGTGATCTCCCACAGGGCTGACATCCTGTTGTATGGAGCTAGGTGTTACATAATCATCATTAATCCCACTCCCTCCCCCCACCGAACCCCACTCACTGTGAGTTACATCATTGCTGCTGAGTGTATAGCGTGACTGAGGAGAATGATTGATAGAATGTGTAGGAATATTTCGATAAATAAATTACTAAATAGCTTTCATTCACATTAGATGTTCACATTATTGACATTAGGGATTGTGTAAAATTATATTGGCCAAGAATAATCCATAAAAGCGTGCCAGATATCATAAAGTTAAGTTTTCACACGGTTATAAATGGTCCATATAATGTTAACAATCTTCTGCATTTAAATGCAGAATTAGATGCCCAGTTTATTTGTCAGTTTTCAAGTTAACTGGCAAGGCATTTCCTACATGTAATAGGTGTTTAGAAAATCTACCCAGTTAACGCTGTCTAACCACCGTTTATCAATAAAGTCTAATAATGTTGTAGCGGTATGCAATTGCTGAAGCAACTGATATGGTGAAAGCAACTTCATATAAGGAGTACCATAATTATTGTAACCAAAAGATTATGTTTAGCATTGGTCTGTTTCAGAATCGGTGTTTTGTAATATATGTGATGAGTGCAAAATCACGAGATGTACATAATACTGCTAGCTATATTGCTATACTTGTATAGGGTTAATGAGGAATAAACTCATAATAAGTTAAAACATCTGATATTCTTTATTGTGTTCGTTCTAAATGACACATAAGAAATAGAATTCTAAGGAATTCCATGTTTCTTTTGCAGGCGAATACCATTAGTTGTTTTTTTCACATATTTACCAAATTTGACATCTACCAGGCTGATAGTTTGACTAGGTGACTACTAGTTTTACTACCTCAACAGTGGAATGTGCTTACTGCCGAACCTTTTACACCAAGAAGAAACGAGTGCCGCGGAGCGACAGCGCTCATCTAACGTCCGTAACCGCCCGCCCCCCAACATTTAAGAGGAGGAGTATAGAACGAAGACGCGACACCAGTAGTGGAGGGAAGAGGAATTAGCGCCCACGCGCGGGAGAGCCCGCCCGCCACCGGCTAGCAGCGACCGGCTCACGAGGAGCGCTGCAGGTGGTGCCTTGAGGGAGGAGAAAAGAGGAGAGAGGGGATGAATGTGATGCGAGGAGTATCGAGAGAGGTGAGAGGTGCCGCTCCTCGCTACCTCCTCCCCTCCTCATGCTTTCTCCCCTCCTCCTCCCCTCTCCCTCCTCGCTCCACCTTCTCCCCCCCCCGACTCCCTCACCTTCTCCCTCCTCAGCTCTACCCCTTCCTCCATCCTCCTCGCCCTTCGCTCCTCCCCCACATTCTTCCCCCCTCCCTCACCATCCCTCCTCCCTTCTCCTCCTCCCACCCTTCTCCGCTCCTCCACCACCTTTTCCCCCTCTCCACCTCTCTCCTCCCCCACCTCTCCTCCCCTCCCTCCCCTCCCCTTCTCCTCACTCACCTTCTCCCCCTCTATCCTCTCCTCCCTCCCTCACCTCCTCTCCTCCTCCCACTCCCTCACTCACTCCTTTGCTTCTGCCCCTCCACCACCTGTCTTCGCCCCGCTCCTCCACCACGCTTCTTCCCTCTCCCCTGTATCACCTTGTTTAACAATGAACTGAATAAACACCAAGTGAAGTAATTATCAGGGGTAAATGTCAGGCGGGGGGGTAAATGTCCGGGGATAACTTGTCCCGGGGTGAAATGCGCATGGGGGGTTACATTGTCTCCGGCGGGTAATTCGCGCAGGGGTAATATGTCCAGCGGCGGTGATCCTGGGGGGGGCTCCCGGGGTCTCTGTCCAGACAAATCATACGTCATGCCTAAAGCTGCTTTGCAAGTCTACCTGTCAATCAAGTTACTTGTACCCATATCACCCTCGCATCTACTTTTATTCCCAGGCAGCCCATTCCCGGTCTTGTCTGAACTCATGCTCACCCTATCGCGAAACTGTAGGTAGGTCCATACGAACGGTTTCAAAGAACAGTCCCTTTGGCGCACATCAATATCTTGTGCTAAGCCCAACTGTCTCGATACACAGAAAGCCACGGTTCATCGTAGTATGTAAGTGACATGTGCAGCAATCGCCGTCAATTCGCCCGGTGTGTCATTGCCCAGTCTCTCCCTAGGCAACCTCGGGTTCTCCATTGGCATGTGACCTTCTGCAACCACATGGTGGACTGAATGTGGGGTGTGGGTCGCTGTGAGACTGCTTCGAAACCATGACGTACACACGGGGTACTGACATCCCTTGCTGCAATCCCAGATGCAGCCTTATCCCGGGTTAGTGCCCGGTGAAGTACCAAAGCCGTGAGCATCTCGTCACAATGCTGTCTGTACAAGCATTAATGATAGCACGTCTTTTTACATGGATACTCTGCCGAACTTGTTAATGCCAGTGAACCTTCGCTGTATGTGGGGGGGAAAGGAGAGAACATCAGGAAGAAGAAGGGGAAGGGAAAGAGACAGCAAAAGAGAGAAGGAGGGGAGATAAGACAAAGAGGGGAGAGAGAGAGAGGGAAAAAGAGATACAGAGCAGGAGGAGCAAGATAGATAGAGCTTCATACAGATTTAACTTTCCCACCGGCTTCACGTGCCTCACGGATCTCTTCAACCACCAGCAATTTTGTGGCACTACTCTCTACGTTGTGTATTGGGACAAGCTATTTGCACAGACCAAGCAGGTACAAATGATACCCTCATGGGCCCTCAGCTGAAAAAACAAGGCAGCAGTAAACCAACCCAGCTGCAAGAACTGGGGAATCACGATCCTGTGTATACTTCCTTAAGCTTCCAGAATTCAAATTGTGTTGTTTTAGTTTTCTTCCACAGTAATCTCCTCCTCTAAGCAACACGTTAGCTTACTGAATGTACGCTAAAAAGACTCGAAAAGATTATTAATAGAAGATCATCAAAAATTATATCCGAATATTCCCTTAAGCACAATCCGTCTAAGTACGCCATTATGTGCTGCTCTACTGCAATCGTACTGCCATTCGCATCATTCGTAGGTACACCATTATCCTTACCTATTCATATAATCAAGTTATTTGCCTCTCATTTATCATCCAAATACTTCTTATCCTTATTTTGTGAGTTCAATGCTGAATTAATGCACTTGAGAAATTTATGAGAATACCTCCCTCTACCGCACTACCCTCTCCCTCATCCAACTCTTATTATGTCGCCCAGGTAATGCGTTTGATGACGGTCATGATGTCGTCCGCTCCGCACCGCTCCGTCAACAGTTGGCACAAATCTAAAACGGCTCGACGGTACGGATTCGAAAAAGTCGGACGTGGGGGGGGGGGGTAATCCGAAAAACGAGTTGGGATGGTCAAGCTGGGGTCAAAGGCAAAGTCAAGAGGTGTAACAGAAGAGGGAACATCCTCCTAACTGAAATGTACCTTCGACTGACATGCGAAAGATAAGTGTCGCGCTAAGTCTTTTGACGGATAATCAGTGAAATTCAACAGGTAAATTTGGTTGTTAGAATGGTTTATGCTCTTTAAATCGTATAATTTCTATGGCATTCTGTACTGTAGGTGCTTACATGTAACGTAATGCCAACTCCCATGGCCACTGCCAGTGCATGTGGTGTGGTACTGGTATTTTTTCGCTGCGTTTAATTAGTTTACAGGTGGAGCCTCTCTATTTCAGCCTGTAGGCTTGCATAGGTAATGGTGAGTTGCTTTACCTATTCTTTTTTGCAAATATTGTTGCTCACTACGTATGATGGAGACTTCCACTTTTAATCTGAAGACACTTAAACGTAACCGCTCATCTCGGTGGCAACTTTTCATAACGATCCAACGAACATTCCTTGAAAGGTTCCTGACTTACATCCCTGTGACTTCCTACTGTTTCGGCGTGTATGTGAACACATTTGGGACAACAAGGTTTACCATTAATCCCACCACTCCACTACATAGGGGGGAGTGTAGGGGTTCCGACCGCAGTAC